AGAAAGCACCTGGGGCAGGTAATTCCACGTGGTTTGGTGTCCTGAGGGAGTTCCTGGCTTTGGATGGGATGGGGGGCTTGGTGTTGCCCCAGAGTGCCTGGAAGCCATGTGGGCTTCCCAAAGTTCTGCCAGCAATGCCATCCCTGACCTCTGGATGGCAGCTGCACCCAGATGGACGAGCACCTGATGTCACCCCTGTGCCCTCAGGGTGGAAACAACCCCCACGGGTCACAGGGAGGGGACACACCTCGAGCTCTGGGCTCAGGACTGGGTCTGTCCCACACCAGGGACAGCACCAGGAGCAGCTGCTGCTCCGCAGAGGAGAGCTCAGGTCGGGGGGGAACTTCCAAAGGTCATGGAAACAGCAGGGAAATGGAATTTAGGTCATGTGGCTGCTCAGCCCAGGCTGAAATGTCCCCACTGGGGATCCTTCATGAATTATAGAATTGGGCAGGTTGGAAAAGGTCTGGAAGGTCATTCAGTCAAACTGTTCCCCAGCACTGCCCCGTGTCCCCAAGTGCCACATCCACAGGGCTTTGAAATCCTTTTAGGAATGGGGACTCCACCCCTGCCCTGGGCAGCTGTGCCAGGGCTGGACAGCCCTTCCCAGGAGGGAATTTTCCCAATATCCAGCCTGACCCTCCCCTGGCACAGCCTGAGGCCGTTCCCTCTCCTCCTGTCCCTTGTTCTCTGGGAGAAGAGACTGATTCCACTCTTTTCCCCCCTCCTGTCAGGGGGTTGCAGAGCCAGAAGGTCCCCCCTGAGCCTCCTTTTCTCCAGGCTGAGCCCCCCCAGCTCCCTCAGCCCCTCCTGCTGCTCCAGCCCCTTCCCAGCTCCCTTCCCTTCCCTGCACATGCTCCAGCCCCTCCGGGTCTTGTCCTGAGGGCCCAGAACTGGACCCACAGCTCCAAGTGGTGCCTCAGCAGTGCCAGCACAGGGGGACAATCCCTGCCCTGCTCCGGATCCCACACTATTTGGGATCCAAGCCAGCTGCCCTTGGCCTTCTTGGCCACCTGGGCTCACGTCCAGCTTCTGTCACCAGCACCTCCAGGCTCTTTCCCAGCTTTCCAGCCCCTCTCCCCCAGCCTGGAGCATTCCAAGGGGTTGTTGTCACCCAGGACTTGGTCCTTTTAACCCTCACCCCGTTGGCTTTGGCCCATGGATCCCATGGATCCAGCCTGCCCAGATCCCTCTGTGGAGCCTTCCAGCAGATCCACATCCCACCCACCATCAACCAGGTCTGAGGGAAGGTGTCCCTGCCCATGGCAGGGGGTTGGAACCAGATGGTCTTTAAGATGCCACCCAACTCTGTGCCCTCTGCAAAGTGACTGAGGGTGCCCTGGATCCCCTCATCCAGATCATCCAAAAAGCCACTGTAGGGTGAGAGGCCAATTTAAGGCCATTCCAGGAGACACCTCAGCACCTGGAGGGGGCATTCCCAGAAACCCACTGCCAGCTGATCATGGATAACTCAATTCATAGTTACTGGTGGTATTATACAATACCCACAGAAAAAGTTTAAACGTTATTTTAACAGTCCTTATAATAATCTCTGTTGTTTCACTTGTCTCAAAGAGCAGAGGCCTTTTTTTTTAGGGAGCAAATCCAGGATTTTTGCCAGCAATTCTGACCAGGATGGAGATGGTGTGGGGAATTTGGAACAGTCCTTTTGTTTGGCTTGCAGGAGTTTCAGTGCCATTGTTTGACACAGGCTCACAGGAAGTCAATCCCTTCATTTTTTATGGAGTCTCCATAGGGAAACGAAAGATTTGGAGCACATATGGATGTTTTTTCCATGCCTTCTCTCCCTACATTTGTTCTGTGCTTGTCCTGCTCCTGGCCAGTCTGGTGCTGGGATCTCTCCCTGGTTTTGTCTGATTGTCCTCTCCTGGATAGGAATCCAGGAGTATTCCTCCTGTTGGAAGTGAATCCTTCTGTTCACCTTCCTATGAATCTGGGGAACGTCTCCAATTGACTTTTCAAGGATTTCTAGAACTAAACATGGAATTTTTACACTGATTTCCTGCTGAACAGCAGCTCAGTTGTTGCAAACACGTCTGTCCCCATCCCTTAATCCCATTTCTCGTGCCTTGTTTTCCAATCCCACCTCCCTCATCCTTCATGGAAAAGCCTTGTGTTGCCTCAGTGAGAAGAACGGGGACAAGTTGGATTATCCAGGAGGTTGTGAAACTCCTTTGGCATGAGAGAGGAATAATTGCACACTTGGCTCCCATTTCCATGCCCGGTTTCCCAACGGCACAGACAAATCCCGGGCTTCTGGGCTTGCCAGGCACGTGATTCCGGGCTTGGATTGGATCTCCCTGGATGCTGGGAATCCCCTGGCTGAGGGAATCTGAGTGTTTCAGCTCCTTGCTCCTGGCTGGGGTGGTCAGATCCTTAAAGATCCAACGAGATTCCAGGGGCTGGGACTTCCCTGTTCTTTGCCAAATCCTTGGATGGCCCCGTGGCATTCCTGGAGCAGAAATATCAGGTTGGAATGGAGAGATTTGTATTCACTTCTTCATCCCTCTCCCTTGATCCTGATGTGCCTCTGGGATGTCCTGAGGGGTAAAGGAAGCTGCTGATTTTTTAAAAAATCCTTTAAAAAAAAAAGATTCCTTTTTGGAATGAAAAGGGAGCTACATGATCCTGGGATTTATAGGGATATCTCTATATATCTATATTCTATTTATATTCTATATATATATACCTATATTGTATATATATCCTGGAATCATAAAGGTTGGAAAAGAACTCAACAATCATCAAATCCAACCATATCTTTTGTTGGAGGATCAAAAATCTTGATCCTGATGTGCCTCTGGGATGTCCTGAGGGGTAAAGGAAGCTGCTGGAACCTTAAAAATCATCCAGTTCCAACCACCCTGCCATGAGTTGGAACCAGCTCATGGTGGGAAATATCCTGGTCTGGAAGGCTGCC